TTGAACACAAATGTGTTTCCAGGGGCTGGGAAGACCCATCAGTGGCGAGGAATCTTCACGGTGAGAACTCAGAATCAAGTAGCTGTTTAATGGCATTTTTGCAAGCAAATGCATGCCCTGACCCTGGCATATTTCGAGGCAGAGACAAAGAAAACTTCGCAGAATTTGTGAGGCGGTTTCGCAGGAGATACTGCCCCGTGATCAATGATGACTTCACATTGATCGGAATATTGGGAGATGACCAACTAGGAGGTCGCGCTAAAAGTCTTTTTATAGCCATGCCGTCAAGCAAAAAAAATCTAGGATTTGAAGCAGTCATTGAAGAACTAGGTAGCCTCCTTGCGCACGAATCCACAACGGCGAGGATGCGATCCTTAACTGACTTGCGAAATCTGAAAATGCGGCCGGGGCAAGGTGTTGCTGATTTTTGCGTAGTGCTGGAGGCGCTTGGTAGGAAAGCGTACCCTGAGTGCACAATTGAAGACCGGTCAATGGACTATGCCCAAATTGTTCTAGAAAACCTAAAACACTGGCCAGAACAAGTTCAGATTTTAAGTGCTTTACACGACGTAGACCCAAGGTATGTCTACGAAAAAGTAAAAGAGCTAGCGATTAGCATTGAACAAGCGAACCTAATCAACAGCAGGCGCGCTTCATCCCACGTCGTGGTTCCTCAGAGGAGTTGGAAGGTGAGAGCCCGTGAGTATGAACAGGGAGAGCGCTTCGCGGAGCAACTACGGAATGATCGGAGAAACGAAAACACTAGAAATACAATAGCGCCTGGTCGGGCACCTTTTCAAAGAGAAACGCAATTCCAGGGCCCAAGAGAGAGGCAAGAGGTCCCGACTAACAACGAAGAGTCCCGTAGGTGCTACAATTGTGGTACGTTGGGCCACCTTGCTAGAAACGGCATACAGAAAGAGCCTAGGATAACCCAAGTAGGTAACGACGCGAGGGAAATCTCAAAGGGAGGCGAAAGAAAGTCGCTTGTATGTATGATCGAGGGCGCACGATCCATGGAACTAACAAGCAAAAAAGAGAAAACGTTGAGAGCCGACATAATCGGTGAAAAATTAACAGTGAACGCGGAACTATTAGATGACACAACACAAGCCTTACTTGACTCTGGGTCAATGATAAGTATTATTCCATTACAAGTGTTAGCGAATGCCTACTTCAAAGGATTCGACGTAGAAGCCCTGAAAAGGGAAGACGACGGCCAGATGGAGACAATATATGATGCTAGCAATAACCCCATGGAATTCTTAGGCATAGTAAGAATCATGGTGAAACTACAAGGTGGACACCCCAGTGAAATCGCATTCCACATCTCAAATGAGAAGAGCAACGAGATCCTGCTGGGAACGAATGCACTGGGCAAACTCGGGGTCCAAATGGTCATATCACTACGTGAGGGACAAGATGAAGAAGAAACAGAAAGTGCTTCAGCAAGATCGGTTTTGGCAGCAGACCGGGTAGTAATTCCTGCACTGTGCGTGCGTCTAGTCACTGCAGTGTGCGACGTTTCAGAGGAAACCATGGAAGGTATAATGTGGGCAACCAAAAAAGGCATAAACAGTGGATTGTATAAAGTACAAAGCAAGGAAATTACTGTACCCATACGGAACCTAGAACATCATCCTATGGTAGTACAGAAAGGAGAAAAACTCGGAGAATGGGGAACTGAAAAGTGGTCCACAAAATGGGAAGACTGCACCATGTTGGAACAAGGGAACATCAGTATGAGCATCGAAGAGAAGCGGCGCATACTTGAGGAACAAATACAACAAAACAGAAAAGAAAGTTGTATCGACAAAGACCTCAGTAATTTCCTGACCAATTATGCGGACGTGTTCGCTGTGTGCGAAAAAGAGCTGAATCAGACGGATTTAGTCAAGACGAATATCGACACAGGAAATAGCCAGCCGATCAAACTAAAAACACGGCCGGTTCCCTTAGGTTTACGAGGAAGACTGAAAGAAATGTTACAGGACTTGGAAAACAGGAAAATCATAGAAAAAGCAACTCAGAATGGGCATTCCCAATTGTACTCGTTGAGAAGAAAGACGGAGGCATACGACTATGCGTCGACTACCGTGAACTCAACAAATGCATAAAGCAGGACTCTTACCCAATACCGACAATCGACGCAATCCTAGGAAGTCTGGCAGGAAAGAAATACGTCTCAACGCTGGACATGTGTAGCGGTTACTGGCAAATACCGTTAGATGAAAACACGAAACACAAGTCTGCCTTCACCACGCCAGAGGGTTTATATCAATTCAAAGTGACTCCATTCGGGCTCAGCACCAGCCCCGCCGTCTTCCAGAGACTAATGGACACAGTCCTTAAAGAAATACTAGGTGAAGAAGTCTTCTGTTACATAGATGATGTGATGATATGCACCAATACACGAGAACGTCACATGGAATTGTTACGGGAAGTTTGCGATCGGATGAGAAGAGCAGGCTTGAGGCTGAAGGCGAAAAAGTGTGTACTGCTCCAGTCGAGTGTGCACTTCCTAGGACATGTCATTGATAGCGGATTACATATGGACAAGAAAAAGGTTGAGGCGGTTTGCGACTACCCAATACCAAGGAATGTGAAGGAGCTGCAGACCTTTTTGGGGATGACATCATTCTACAGAAAGTTCTGCTTGAATTTTTAGAAAATCGCATCCCCGTTATTCAAATTGACATCATCTAAAACGAAGTGGAGTTGGGACATCGAGCATGATGAAGCATTCAGAAGATTGAAAGAAATGATTTCATCAGCCCCCGTACTTAAACAGCCAAAAATCGAAGACGCTCGAAGTGGGAAATACCCATTTGTGATTTTCACTGACGCTTCCAGTACAGGCATAGGTGCTGTACTTTCACAAGAAGATGAAGACAAGTTCCTACACCCAATCTTCTTCTCGTCGAAGAGTTTAAGCAAAGCAGAAAAGAGATATCATATCACAGACCTCGAAGCTTTGAGTGTGGTCTTCGCAGTTAGACGATTTCATATGTTTATTTATGGAGCACCAACAATTGTGAAAACCGACCACTTACCACTCACAGCACTTTTCAAGAGAACTAATGTATCCGCAAGAATACTTCGTTGGTCGCTCGAGCTGCAACGGTACAACCTTCAAATCCAATACATCAAAGGAAAAGCGAATATCGTAGCAGATGCCCTAAGTCGAGGAGCAGTAGGATGCCAGGATAGCGAAGACACCACCGAAGGAGTACATGATACAGTGGTGTGCACAATGCGGACAGGAAAATCCGAATGGTTGAAGGAGCTCGAACAAGATGATGACTGGTCGCGCTTGATAGAGCTCATAAATGAAGGGAAAACCGACGAAATAATAAAGATAAATGGGATACATAACCCAACTCGAGTATCGGACTTCATGATCGACCATGGCGAATTGAAAATGTTTCGCGACGGCGGTTCATTGGTCCAAATCGTGCCAAAAAGCGCTCGCTACGACGTTTTTGTGGAAGCGCATGCAGGCGTTCTAGCCGGACATTTTAGCGCTAACAAAGTGGCAAAGAAGTTGAGTAAACAAGTATATTGGCCTGAAATGAACAAAGACATTCACAAATAGACTGAAGAGTGCAATACATGCTTCATAAACAATCAAAACGAACAATAACACCCCCTTTGAAGCCTATACGAACGACAAGACCGTACGACGTTGTGGGAGTTGATCTTTTGGAGTTGGGAAGAACAACAGCAGGGAATCGCTATGCAGTGACCATCATAGACCACTTCTCCAAATTTGCTGCAGCTTACCCTGTGGCCGATAAAAGTGCAGAGACTGTAGCAAGAGCAACATTCTACAAGTGGATTGCCGACGGATGCCGCTGGCCGAAAGTGATCTTATCAGATAGAGGAGGGGAGCTTGAAAATAAGATAATGGAAGAAGTAGAAAGAATTGCGAACATCAAACACGTTCTCACAAAAGGTTACAACCCGAGAGAGAACGGCATCACAGAAAGGCTGAACGGAACCATACTCGCGATGCTGAGAAGAACCACAAAAGTACCTACAGAATGGGATGAAAGGCTTCCCTTCTGTATAATGGCGTACAACATGACACCCCACAGGTCAACTGGCGAAAGCCCATATTTTATCCTACATGGAATTGATCCCAACTGTCCCTCGGACGTAATTCCAATGCAAGAAGTATCGGAATACGCAGTTGATCGAACTTTGGGCGATTTCAAAACAGCCGTAATCCAAGGAATGCAAGAGATACACGAAAGAGTGAAAGAAAGTAATGATAGGGCTCGTGCATCCATGAAAAAAGCATACGACAGTGAACACAACGTAGATTGCGCGAAACACCCAGCAGTTGGCGATAGAGTATACGTCAAATGTCCCGCTGAGAAGGGCAAGAAAGAGCACCCAAAACTTTCGTGCGAATGGTCGGGACCTTTCAGAGTGATAGCAGCAAGCCAAAACTCAGCAACGGTCACAAGAATAGGCGAAAACAATGATCCAATCCAGATACCTGTAGACCAGTTAAGGATCGTACCCTCGTGTATCCCAGATGACAGATTAGATACAGTGACTAGTAGAGGAAAAAGAGGGAGAAAGAGAAACAGTTCCCAAGTTCAAGTCAATCGAATAACAAGTCTTTTTCACAGAGGTGTGACACTGTTGACAACCACTCAGCCAGGACACCTTCTTCACCAGTGTCTAGACGACTGCCTGTTCAATGCAAAGCTGGCGGACATCAAAGAGGTGTCCTTCCCAGGAGCATTCGCTAACGAACCAGTTGGCACTGTATGGAAAGCCTGGGTGGCATGCGGTATATTTTGCCGAAAAGACATCGACGTTGCAAAAAAGATAAAGTTCCACAGACAAGAAGTGGTGTGCCTCGATGAGGACGTGCTAAAAATCGTGTTGAAGTTCGCATACGACAAATGCACTGAATGGACGGAATTTCTATGCGAGACGGACACCATAAGAAGCACGCTCCCGTAGAAGATTACTGCGTGGAAGGAATGTATAATAATGCGCTGAAGGCTCTGAAGAAAGAGCTCAACGAACAGTCCAAAGGAGAACGCCCTATCAAAGACGGACCCACAATTTACGCGGCACCGGAGTGCGGAGCAGTAATGGAGGCTGATGGGATGCGCGGGGGCATCCAAACTGTTGTGACAAATACGTTCAATTCACTGCGTTAGAAGGTGAAAGAATGGCACGCATTTGCTACCTGGGTAATTGTCTGGCCCATCGACACCCACTGGGAAAAGAATGCTATAACAGAAATAGCCGCTGCCTGCACCAAGCACTTCGAAGAAGGAGGAAAGGTGGTATCCGCATGGACACCAGGCTCATACGAAAACATCCATAAATGGAAGGATACGTATCAAATCTGGAGTTTGTTAGATGAGAAACTGGCAAAAGAAGCCGGAAAAGATCAATTTTTCAAGACATCTACCACCAAAGTAATTGAAGGTAAAATATACGCTAAATTTGGGTCTCCAGAGACCTGCTGGCAATTCTTACGCTAAATTGGGTCTCAGAGACTGCTGGCAATTCTA